TACACTTGATTATTCTGATCGGCTCTGATTAATAAAACTTGGCACGTTTTACTTAATGAAAACAACAGACATTTCCTTAGATCTTAAAATAATGTCTGCAGACTTTAGCTTATCTTTACTGGCAGAGATAGAAGAGTTTTAAAGATGGGGAATGAAGGAGTTTGAATGGAGAGAAAAGATGGATGAGGATGTATGTCTGTAAACCAGAACAACACGCTCCTTTCAAGCGCAGTTCGCCCGCAGTACACTGGTAGTGAAGCTCGTGACGACTCTTTACCTTGGCAGAGGATGAATCAGCTGCGGTCAAGAGGTCCCTGGCACGCTACCTTTCAGCGTCTCCTCAGGGCGGCTGCGACTCAGCAGAAGTCGTGAGATAATCCGTTCCACAGAACAAACTTCCTCAGCAGTTATAGGGCATTCGCCGGGTGGAGCCACAGCGAGGCGTCGTGGCTCCGACAGGAACTCCAGCCGAACTCCATCAGAACCAGAAGAACTAACGGGACTCTGAGAAGACTCAGAGGAACTCAGAACTTCTGTTCTCCAGCACTCGAACTTCTCCCCAGTAGAACTTCTGTTCTCACTCCAGAACTAACTGGAACTAGGAAGTGTTGACTTTTAAAGAGTTCTGCTTCCGGTCACTTTTAGGAAGTGCTGATTGGTTGAAAGAACCAACAGGGGTGTGGTTTTAGTGACGTCAGAGGGTTATTACAAGTCAGATAAACAGCGGAGATGTTTAGGAACAGACAGAGAAATGTTTTGGAGAAATGACAGACTCACAGGTGCCAGTTTTCTTGTTTCTGTCTGAGAGGTTTAAAAACATGACAGTACGTTCCAATAAACTTGTTTGCGACTGTCTCCGACTTTTGACCAACATCACTCCTTTCTCATTTCAGACGGAAGATCAAAAAATGCATAATTACTTTGTAACAGACATTTAACTTGATTTCTACTTTGAATGAGGATTAAAAATCATTAATACTGTTTCACAGTTGATTTAAAATGAGTGGTTCACTTCAACATTTAAAAATGATTTGAACTAAACACACTTTTGATTATCAAGACATTTGTAAAAATAGTAATGATAATATAAAAAGAGAGTGTTCTTTCAATTGATTAGTTCAGGATACAATTAGAAAGTCTCTGGATGAGCTAATTTGTATTTCTGGATTCAAATCAATGAAATAACAGTTCCTGTCCCATGAAGGTCTTCAGAGGCAGGTTTTGACCAGAGGCCGAGTTCACTACAACATCAATTGTGGCCCACTCTTTTTTTTATAACACTGTTTCAGTTCATTGAGGTTTGCAGACATTAATTTCTGTACAGCGTTTCAGATTTTGACTGAATCATTACAAATACAAGATTCTTCTCATTTTTAGTCATTCTGTTGTTGATTTGCTGATTTGTTTGGGATTATTGTTCTGTTGCATCACAAGCCAGTTTAGCCCAACAGTCACATTTGACTCTTGAATCCTTTGGTCTACAGTGAAGTTCATGGTGGACTCAGTGACTGCAGGAGTCCCAGGTCCCAAACCATCAGCCCTCCACCGCCATGCTGACAGCTGCTATAAGGTGTTTGTGCTGATATGTTGTGTTTTTCTCTAAACATGTTGCTGTGCATTATGGGTAAATATCACTACTTGGGTTTCATCTACTCAAAGGACATTATTCCAGAAACCTTGAGGTTCATTCAGATATAATTTTGAAAACTTGTGCTGCCATGATTTTATTTCATTGTTTGAGAGACGAGGCTCTCTCCTACAGCTCTTAAAAACAAGACAACTGATCGGTCTTTTTATTCGTTCAGTCATGAACTTTAACCTTTGACCTGCTGACTGAGGCCTGTAGGGTTGGAGATTAAGCTCTTAGTTAATTTCTCTTGAGCACTGCACGGTCTTATCTTGGGGTTAGTATGCTAGGACATCCTTCACTGGGAAGATTGTCAGCTGTCTTAAAAGTTTCCATGTCCCTTTGTAAGTTGATGAACTCTAGTTGTAAACGACCTTTAACCTTTATAAGCAGCAACAGTTGCTTCTCTAAGGTCATTGCTGTTGTCTTTCTGCTTGGTGTTAACATGCACCTGTATGCTCCCGAGCACCAAAGTATCAAAACTTCTGCTTTGCTAGAGGAAGTCACACTGCGGTTGATTAGTTCATCCTAGTAAACACGTGGTTGCTACTCTCTCTGAAATCTTACTGCAGAGACAAGTGTGAACTTTGTCTTCACATGACTTTTCCATCTTGGCTTTGTTTTTTTTTTTGTGTGTGTGGTTTGTTTCCCAATAAACAGTGAGAAGGTGGAATTGGTCTTGTGTTTTCATGCCCTTTTGGGTTGATTTGAATAATTTTAGAACCTGGTGAATAACCTGATAGGTAAAATCCTAAAAAAGTTTATTTTTGTCATGACTATAATTAATTCATATTGCACCAAATTGAGAAAATCCATCCATTCATCCATCCATCATTCCATCAATCCTTTAAAAGTACCCACATCTTCCTTTTTGGGTCGCGGGGGTCACTGGTGCCCATGTCCAGCCATCACTGTGCGAGAGGCGGGGACACCTTGGACATATCTCCAGTCCATCACAGGGACACATAGAGACAAACGAGACAAACAACCATTCACTCTCTCACTCACACCTAGAGACAATTTAGAGTTACCAATCAGCCTAACATGCATGTTATTGGTCTGTGGGAGAAAACCAGAGTATGTAGAGAAAACCCACACATGTGCGGGGAGAACATACAAACTCCAGAAAGGCCTCAAGTCGGGATTTGAACTGGCAACCTTCTCACTGAGAGGCAACAGCTCCACTAACTGCACCACTGTGCCACCCTTGAGAAAATACAAGAATTTTTTGTCTATACAACCTAATTTTGTTTACAAAGCACAAGTTGTACAAGTGTACAAATTATAGAAACTTTAAAAAAGGCGACACGACCGGTTTAACAACTGTTGTTGAACGTTGAAAAATCTTTTTAAAGAGTTAAAACGTGTCAAGATCCAGGCATTAATTCACACAGCGTGTCCATTTATCTTGGAAATTAAAATGGAAAATTTACAGTTAAATTCTGTTTTGCAGGAAAATATCAAATTAAACTTGATTAACTCCAGGGCAGGCTCTCAGATGAGGACATGCTTTTAAGTGTGGACATGAAGGAGGACACTGATACACCTGACCTGAGTTTCAGAGGCAGATCATTGCAGAGGTCTTCATTTCAAATGTTATGTTCTGTTCACGAACAGACTGGCACATTTACCTGAGCGGTTCATCGTGGCGTGTTCACTTCTAAGAGGAAACAAAAATGGGACAGAGGTCATGAAGGGTCAAAAAAACAATCAGATGAGGCTGATTCAGGAGCGAATGATAGTTTTTTTTCTTGACTGACAGTGAGTAATGACACAACAAGGATCCAAACCAGGATAAGATTCATTTTGTCTCCAAAAAAATCAGGCTTGTAATCATCCTTTCATTCTTGGAAATGCTGCTTCAACAGATGGCAGGAGTTATTTCAGGGCAATCCAGCTTCCTGCCTAACCGCCTTCTCTCGTTTCACTGGGCTTTCTGCTAAACGGAAAGGGTGTCCAAAGATCCCTTTGTGCTATTACTTGTTTCTAAATCAAGATTTCAAGCAAGTGACACTAAAGAAACTATTTCTGAACGCAGAATTAATTGCAGTTCTATCAAGTATGCTGCTGATGTGTTCCAGTTATCAATAATTTGGATTCAAGATCAGATTTACTGGCAAATTAAAAAAAACTAACTTTAAGAGATTTACCGTACTTGCTGCCATACATGTCGCACCGCTCTATAAGTTGCATCAGTAGAAATATGTGTGATAAAGCAAAAAAAAAAAAAAAAACATAAATACGTCGTGTCGCCGTATGAGTTGCATCTATTATGCGTCACCGCTGACCACCTGTAAACGTGGCCCGGTGTCATGCCAAAAATCGCTTGGCTGCCAAATGGTGGCCATGGGAACATGTACGGGAGGACTTTAACAAGAATTTAACAAGATTAACTCTTAAAAACAAATATTTGTTTGCTTGCCATTATAGTAAAGGTGTGTCTCAGTCGAACTTTTCCTTAATAAATGCACTTTGACAATCACATCAGCTGTATTGCCTGGGTGGCACGGCAAAATGCAGCTGATTTGACGTTTGCTCCAGGAGTTCTGGAGCGAGACGATGATGGCTGATATGGCAAGACAAGTGTCTCATTAATAGCCACTTTTACCTATAAGGCACTTGGCTTGCCATATTTGTCGAGGACCCTCTAGTGGCTGAAAATGGTAGTGTTCAGTCACAATAATTCTCAGTCGGTTCATCTGGACAGTTTATTTTTTATAGAGACATTTCGCCCTCTATCCAGAGGGCTTCTTCAGTCAGAGGAGTCCCAGTAAACTGTTTCCCCACCAAGCAGTAAACTCCTTCAGTGGACCAACCAGTTTGCTGGAGCTGAGATGGTTTCTGGATGCTGCCCTGTCCCTCGTCGACTCCTCCCAGGGAGGCAGCCACAGCCAAGGTGGTTCAAGGCAACAAAGTTCATGCTCAGTCATCCAGATATCAAATCCATAATTGCTCCTGCAAACTGGTTGGCCCACTTAAGGAGTTTACTGCTTGGTGGGGATACAGTTTACTAGAACTCCTCTGACTGATGAAGCCCTCCGGATAGAGGGCGAAACGTCTCTATAAAAAAGAAACTGGCCAGATGACCTAACTGAGAATTATTGGATTTGATACCTGGATGATTGAGCATGAACTTTGTTCAATATTTTCCATGTCAGAAAGAATGAAATCATCAGATCTCAGCCAAAAATTGGGTTATAAACATGGCGAAAAAATATAAATACGTCACTTCACTGTATAAGTCGCAGAGAAAACTGATTTATACAGCAAAAATTACAATAATCAAAATGAGTTATTTTTCAAGAGATGCACATGAAGAAAAGACAAACAGCTGTAAAATATAACAGTTGATGTTTTGTGCTATTTTTTCCAGAGTGGACAAGACCTCCAAGGCCAGAGGTATTTGGTGAGTATTTCGTTTATTTCGTTGTTTTTTTTTCTCAATAAAATGTGAAACTACACCCCTCACTAAACCCTTAAGTCAAAGTGAAATTTTTGTAGTTTAAAAGGAAACAGCAGAGTGGACTGAAGTTTCTAAAGCTCGTGGCTCTGTTCAGTGTGACAGATTGGCCTTGTGATGTTCAAACGTGTGACTCCATCCACCAAGTAGGGTGTAAGTAAGATGAATGAGGCTGTGACAGATGGGCGGCAGTGGGCCGACAGTCAGCCTGACTCTGCAGTGGGTCGTGTGCGACACAGACAGGGATGTGAGCACGAACACCTCCTGACAGCACAGATACACCGCTCTGTTTCTGGAAGCTTCAGGTGAGGTGGCGTGAGTGGCTGACTTCATCATACCATCATCACACCGTCCTGCTGGAATACAGACACGTGAGAACCACTCTGAACAACAAAGCTCGGCGGTACTTAGAGGCTGGCCTAGTTTGCTACAGCTTCAGACATCATCACTGGGCCTTTTGTAAAGAAGATGATAAAGAGTGTAGCAAAAATAAAGATGAAGAAGAAGATCAGAACCAGGATTCAGAGCAGCTCTGGCTGATGAAAGAGCTGTGAGAGCAAAGAGGAGGAGGAGGGAGGATAAAAGAACTGACTGGATGAGATGATACAATGAAAGATGATGGTTACATCTGCTTTTCACCGGAGAAGAGCAGGAAAACACGAGTCATGCTCGGACTTTATTGAATTCAAAGAACACTGCTGGGGGGGGGGATTTTGTTGGACCTTTTCCACTTGGATTATAGTCCACCCAGAACAGATTGATCCAAACAGCTGCTGATCATCTGTAGTGACTGCTGTAGAGCTTCAAGAACCGGTCCGACTTTAAAAGAACCAAGTGATGTTGACAGTCACAGCTTCAGTCCTTAAAACACACACGAGACATCAGACCTTCATCACAACAGGTAGATAATCACACACCTGCTACAAGCTGGGTGACAAACAACAATACTTTTAATCTAAAGCTAACGCTTTTTTATGAGTGGCAAATGAGTAAAACATAAAAAAGTAAAAACAAACAAACAATTAAATTAAGATAAAAATAACTCAGGACTAATATGTGTGATTAACATCTATTGTGTAATCTTACTAACAAAACAAAATTATTTTTTCAGCTTTTGGTTTTGAAAACAATAATAATCATTAATAAATGGCTTATAATTTATCCTACATTAGTCAACCTTTTATTCCATAAAATAATTTATTTTGATGTTACATTTGGTCTGACTTACTGCCAGCAATGAAAACCAGACTTTTGTTTATATAGGGTCCGAATGGCCCATAGTAATATATATATATATATATATATATATATATATATATATATATATAT